GACCCTCCTGAACAACTTTTCTCCATAAAGACATGGTTTGACCAGTTTGATGTGGGGGAACTCAACCCTACTGAACACCTTTTCTCCATAAAAACATGGTTTGTCCAGTTTGATGTGAAGTAACTGGAGTGTTCTGCACACATTGAGACCTCAACCCTACTGAACACTTTGGAAATGAATTTGAAACTGGCAGCAAACCAGGTCTTTTTTTTTTAGCACCCTACTTGGGCCTGATATGTGAGCCATGTCTTCTCATTGAACAATGGTACCTGGCATCACAAGTGGGCAAAAATTCCGACAGACACCTTCTAAAATCTCCCCAGAAGAATGGAGGAATGGTTTCAGCCACAAAAGGGAGGCTATCTTCATGAAGGAAAGGCAGATCCATGTCAATGGCCATTGTTTTAGAATGGGATGTCCAGCAAGTTCTTATAGATGCAATGGTCAGGTGTCCACAAACCTTTGATGTATCTCAATATAGTTATTCTTCATACACTGTAATGTACCACACACAACTAGGCCATAGTGTTAAGCATCTTAGCTACCAGGGTGTTTTTGCATTTTGCAAAGAAAACGTGAGAGGAACATACAATCTCTATACAGATATTGTCTCTGGTGGTAATTCATTCAAATGAAGGAGAAAAATCACTTATTTACAAAATTTTATAACAGAAACTAAGAAAAAAACATGTTTTTTTTTAAAAACAATTTTCAGCTGTTTTTGGTTTGTTTAGCAAAAAATAAAAAACCCCGAGGTGATTAAATACCACCAAAAGAAAGCTTTATCTGTCTAAAAAAAAATAATAAAAATTTCATATGGGTACAGTGTTGCATGACCGCGCAATTGTCATTCAAAGTGTGACAGCACTGAAAGCTGAAAACTGGCCTGGACAGGAAGGGGGTAGAAGTGTCCGGTAGGCAGGAAGGGGTAGAAGTGTCCGGTAGGCAGGAAGGGGGGTAGAAGTGCCCGGTGGGCAGGAAGGGGGTAGAAGTGTCCTGTAGGCAGGAAGGGGGTAGAAGTGTCCTGTAGGCAGGAAGGGGGTAGAAGTGTCCTGTAGGCAGGAAGGGGGTAGAAGTGTCCTGTAGGCAGGAAGGGGGTAGAAGTGTCCGGTAGGCAGGAAGGGGGTAGAAGTGCCCGGTAGGCAGGAAGGGGGTAGAAGTGTGCCCAATAGGCAGGAAGGTGGTAGAAGTGCCCAATAGGCAGGAAGGGGGTAGAAGTGCCCGGTGGGCAGGAAGGGGGTAGAAGTGCCCGGTGGGCAGGAAGGGGGTAGAAGTGCCCGGTGGGCAGGAAGGGGGTAGAAGTGCCCAGTAGGGAGGAAGGGGGTAGAAGTGCCCGGTGGGCAGGAAGGGGGTAGAAGTGCCCGGTAGGCAGGAGGGGGGTAGAAGTGCCCGGTAGGCAGCAAGGGGGTAGAAGTGCCCGGTAGGCAGGAAGGGGGTAGAAGTGTCCGGTAGGGAGGAAGGGGGTAGAAGTGCCCGGTAGGCAGGAAGGGGGTAGAAGTGCCCGGTAGGCAGCAAGGGGGTAGAAGTGTCCTGTAGGCAGGAAGGGGGTAGAAGCTCCCTGTAGGCAGGAAGGGGGTAGAAGCTCCCTGTAGGCAGGAAGGGGGTAGAAGCGCCCTGTAGGCAGGAAGGGGGTAGAAGTGTCCTGTAGGCAGGAAGGGGGTAGAAGCGCCCGGTAGGCAGGAAGGGGGTAGAAGCGCCCGGTAGGCAAGCAGGGGGTAGAAGCGCCCGGTAGGCAGGAAGGGGGTAGAAGTGCCCTGTAGGCAGGAAGGGGGTAGGCAGAAGTGTCCGGTAGGCAGGAAAGAAGGGGGTAGAAGTGTCCAGTAGGCAGGAAGGGGATAGAAGTGTCCGGTAGGCAGGAAGGGGATAGAAGTGTCCGGTAGGCAGGAAGGGGATAGAAGTGTCCAGTAGGCGAGGGTTTAAACAGGTTTTTATCTCCTGATATGAGATTACTAGATGTCATAAACACGTTTCATTCCATAAACAAATTTTTATCTTGCTCTCAGCAGAATATCTTGTGACTTTGTTCTTTTGACCTGGAGAAATGACACATCAGTCACCTCTCATGCCCCTGGCATTGGGGCAACAATGCTTTATTGTAAAAATTACCCAAGAAACAAAGGGTCCAAGAGCAACACATTTCATAGGCATTACAACAGAGTAGGAGAAGCCTTTACCACACCAAGAAAAACATGTTCCATCACAAAGCAGGAGGACCTTTTACCACACTAAGGGAAGACCTTCCATCACAAAACAGGAGGGGTCCGAAACACACCAAGGGAAGATGTTCCATTACAAAACAGGAGGAGCCTTTGCCACACTAATGGAGGATGTTACACACCAAGGGAAGACGTTCTATCACAAAATTGGAGAAGACTTTACCACACCAAGGGAAGATGTTCCATCACAAAGCTGGAGGAGCCTTTACCACACTAATGGAGGACGTTCCATCACAAAGCAGGGAAGACATTCCATCAGAAAGCAAGGTCGCTGTCCACGCCAAGGAAGATGTTCCATCACAAAGCAGGAGTGGCTCTGACCACACCAAGGAAGATGTTCCATCACAAAGCAGGAGGGACCCTGACCACACCAAGGGAAGATGTTCCAGATTTGCAAAGCTGGAGGGGCTCTGTCCACACCAAGGGAAGATGTTCCATTGCAAAGCAGAAAGGGCTCTGACCACACCAAGGGAAGATGTTCCATCGCAAAGAAGGAGGGGCTCTGACCACACCAAGGGAAGATGTTCCATCACAAAGAGGGGGGGCTCTGACCACAACAAGGGGAAGATGTTCCATCACAAAGAAGGAGGGGCTCTGACCACACCAAGAGAGATATGCCCAGACATACACTTTAATTTTTAGAGAATTTGTTTTTATATCAAGGCATAAAAACAGACAGCTATATGGTGGGTCAGTGGGCGTGGCCTTCACAGGGACATGTAAAGCGTCATTCTCACTCCCGTAAAATCTGCACTTGTTTTGCAAATCTCCATCTCTTGGTAAACCTTTCCTCTTTGGCAGACTACAGGAGGGCACTCCGTTCTAGAAGGTACCCGAGCGCCACATTAAAGCCGTCAGTTTAATTCCACAGCAGTGACATCTTAATTATGTGCGTCAAAGACACCGGAAAATTTGTTTTTGTTTTTAATTAAGCGACTTCATATTTTTACGGCTCTGGCAGCCTCCTGTAATGAGTTTTGTCAGCGAGAGGAACTGGGCCGCGATCTGTGTGATTCACAGTCAATCTAGCTGCAGCGTGCACTGCCGGTGACTCTGCGAGCATCGAAAATATGTCATTAATTGCCGAAAACAGAGAGAGGAGAGGATGGCAGCGCTAATTAGGACCTTGTTTTTTTTTAAAGTGTAAAAGTAGGCAAGCCGCTAAATACACAGTTCTCGTTCTAATACGGTTCTACGGCTCTGCCTGCTGCTAAGAAATAATCTGCGGACTGTTTAAAGAAAACCATTACGGAGCAGAGGACAAATGACTGGTCACCAGTATTGTCTGTGGTGTCCCTCCAGCAGATCTATTTCACATTACTGACTTGCCATGCCTTGTTCTGCACTGTGCTCTTTGTGCTGTTTACTGTTCTCCTTGCTGGAGAGGAAGCTGTATCTGCAAAAACCATTACCGAGCAGAGGACAAATGACTGGCCCACCAGTATTGTCTGCGGTCTCCCTCCAGAAGATCTATTTCACATTTACTGACTTACCATACCTTGTTCTACTGTGTTTTTTGTGCTGTTTACTGTTCTCCTTGCTGGGAGAGGAAGCTGTATATGAGGACCTGTTCTGCGAAAGTCACTACCGAGCAGAGGACAAATGACTGGTCACCAGTATTGTCTGTGGTCTCCCTCCAGAAGATCTATTTCACATTACTGACTTATCATGCCTTGTTCTGCACTGTGCTTTTTGTGCTGTTTAACTGTTCTCCTTGCTGGAGAGGAAGCTGTATCTGAGGACCTGTTCTGCGAAAACCATTACCAAGCCGAGGACAAATGACTGGTCACCAGTATTGTCTGTGGTCTCCCTCCAGCAGATCTGTTTCACATTACTGACTTACCATGCCTTGTTCTGCACTCTGTGTTTTTTGTGCTGTTTACTGTTCTCCTTGCTGGAGAGGAAGCTGTATCTGCAGAAACCATTACGCGAGCAGAGGACAAATGACTGGCCCACCAGTATTGACTGTGGATCTCCCTCCAGCAGATCTATTTCACATTCGTGACTTACCATACCTTGTTCTGCTCTGTGCTTTTTGTGCTGTTTACTGTTCTCTTGCTGGAGAGGAAGCTGTATATCTGCAGAAACCATTACCGAGCAGAGGACAAATTGACTGGTCACCAGTATTGACTGTGATCTCCCTCCAGCAGATCTATTTCACATTCGTGACTTACCATACCTTGTTCTGCACTGTGCTTTTTGCTTGCTGTTTACTGTTTCCTTGCTGGAGAGGAAGCTGTATCTGAGGACCTGCAGTGCAGTTGCAAGGATCTCCCTGCCATATATTATTATTTACTGACTTATTACATTGAGTTTATATCTGCGCCAAAGGGTTTGCCTCAGCGCTGTACAATAGGGTGGAGGAACAGGGGTTTGCTCCTGCTGACTAGGGATCTGATGAATGCAACAGCAACAGGAGATTTTGAGGGAGCACAGATCCACAGAGAGATTGAAGTAGAAGCAGGGAGATAATTTGCACTGCAAATCCTCAGGTACAGCTTCCTCTCCAGCAAAGAGAATTCATTTGCAGCACAATAGTGACATCACCTAATCTCACTACCAAATCCTCTGACACAAGCAGTATCCGCACTACCAGACCCGCATTCACTATTATCCGCTCTCCTCGGACCCCGCATTCACTATATTCTGGTCTCCCCCGGACCCTGCATTCACTATATCGCTCTCCCCGGACCCCGCATTCACAATATCTGCTCTCCCCGGACCCCGCACATTTTTCACTATATCTGCTCTCCCGGACCCCGCATTCACTTTATATCCGCTCTCCCCGGACCCCGCATTTCACTATATCCGCTCTCCCCGGACTCCGCATTCGCTATATCCCTCTCCCCGGACCCCGCATTTCACTATATCCGCTCGCCCCGGGACCCCGCATTCAACTATATCCGGAACCTACGCTCTCCCCGGACCCCGCATTCACTATATCCGCTCTCCCGGACCATTCGCATTTCACTATATCCCGCTCTTCCCGGACCCAGCCCATTTACTATATCCGCTGTTCCCGGACCCTGCATTCCCTTATCCGGTCTCCCCGGACCCCGCATTCACTATATCCACTCTCCCCGGACCCGCATTCACTATATCCGCTCTCCCCGGACCCCGCATTCACTATATCCGCTCTCCCCCGGACCCCGCATTCACTATATCCGCTCTCCCCAGACCTCGCATTCACTATATCCGCTCTCCCCGGACCCCGCATTTCACTATATCCGCTCTCCCCCGGACCCTGCATTCACTATATATCCGCTCTCCCCGGACCCCGCATTCACTATATCCGCTCTCCCCGGACCCCGCATTCACTATATCCGCTCTCCCCGGACCCAGCATTCACTATATCCGCTCTCCCGGACCCCGCATTCACTATATCCGCTCTCCCGGACCCCGCATTCACTATATCCGCTGTTCCCCGGACCCCGCATTCACTGTATATGGTCTCCCCGGACCCCGCATTCACTATATCCGCTCTCCCCGGACCCCGCATTCACTATATCCAGTCTCTCCCGGACCCGCATTCACTATATCCGCTCCCCGGACCCTGCATTCACTATATCCACTCTCCCGGACCCGCATTCACTATATCCGCTCTCCCCGGACCCCGCATTCACTATATCCGCTGTTCCCGGACCCCGCATTCACTATATCCAGTCTCCCCGGACCCCGCATTCACTATATCCGCTCTCCCCGGACCCCGCCGAATTCACTATATATTCCGCTCTCCCTCTCATCCCCGGACCCCGCATTTCCCTATATCCGCTCTCCCCGGACCCCGCATTCACTATATCCAGTCTCTCCGGACCCCGCATTCACTATATCCGCTCTCCCCGGACCCCGCATTCACTATATCCGCTCTCCCCGGACCCCCGCATTCACTATATCTTGTCTCCCCGGACCCCGCATTCACTATATCCGCTCTCCCTGGACCCCGCATTCACTATATCCGCTCTCCCCGGACCCCGCATTCACTATATCTGGTCTCCCCGGATCCCGCATTCACTATATCCAGTCTCCCTGGACCCCGCATTCACTATATCTGCTCTCCCGGACCCCGCATTCACTATATCCGCTCTCCCCGGACCCCGCATTCACTATATCCAGTCTCCCCGGACCCCGCATTCACTATATCCGCTCTCTCCGGACCCCGCATTCACTATATTCCGCTCTCCCCCGGACCCCGCATTCACTATATCCGCTCTCCCGGACCCCGCATTCACTATATCCGCTCTCCCCGGACCCCGCATTCACTAAATCCGCTCTCCCGGGACCCCGCATTCACTATATCCTGTCTCCCCGGACCCCGCATTCACTATATCTGGTCTCCCCGGACCCCGCATTCACTATATCCGCTCTCCCCGGACCCCGAATTCACTATATCATATATCCGCTCTCCCCGACCCCCGAATTCACTATATCCGCTCTCCCCGGGACCCCCGCATTCACAATATCCGCTCTCCCGGGACCCCGCATTCACTACATCCGCTCTCCCTGGACCCCGCATTCACTATATCCGCTCTACCCCCGGACGTCATCCCCGGAAAACCCGCATTCACTACATCCGCTCTCTCCCGGACCCCGCATTCACTATATCCGCTCTCCCCGGACCCCGCATTCACTATATCCGCTCTCACCGGGCCCCGCATTCACCATATCTGCTCTCCCGGACCCCGCATTCAATATATCCGCTCTCCCGGACCCCGCATTCACTACATCCGCTCTCCCTGGACCCCGCATTCACTATATCCGCTCTCCCCGGACCCCGCATTCACTATATCCGCTCTCACCGGACCCCGCATTCACCATATCTGCTCTCCCCGGACCCCGCATTCACTACATCCACTCTCCCCGGACCCCGCATTCACTATATCCTCTCTCCCCGGACCCCGCATTCACTATATCCGGTCTCCCCGGACCCCTGCATTCACTATATCCGCTCTCCCCAGACCCCGCATTCACTATATATCCGCTGTTCCCGGACCCCGCATTCACTAAATCCGCTCTCCCCCCGAAGCGACCCCCGCATTCCTATATCCGCTCTCCCCAGACCCCGCATTCACTATATCCGCTCCCCCGGACCCCCGCATTCACTATATCCAGTCTCCCCCGGACCCCGCATTCACTATATCCGCTCTCTCCCGGACCCCGCATTCACTATATCCGCTCTCCCCGGACCCCGCATTCACTATATCCGCTCTCCCCGGACCCCGCATTCACTATATCCGCTCTCCCCGGACCCCGCATTCACTAAATCCGCTCTCCCGGGACCCCGCATTCACTATATCCAGTCTCCCCGGACCCCGTATTCACTATATCGCTCTCTCCGGACCCCGCATTCACTATATTCCGCTCTCCCCGACCCCGCATTCACTATATCCGCTCTCCCCGGACCCCGCATTCACTATATCCGCTCTCCCCGGACCCCGCATTCACTATATCCTGTCTCCCCGAACCCCGCATTCACTATATCCTGTCTCCTCGGACCCCGCATTCACTATATCTGGTCTCCCCGGACCCCGCATTCACTATATCCGCTCTTCCCCGGACCCCCGAATTCACTATATCCGCTCTCCCCGGACCCCGCATTCACAATATCCGCTCTCCCCGGACCCCGCATTCACTACATCCCTCTCTCTCCCCGGACCCCGCATTCACTATATCCGCTCTCCCCGGACCCCGCATTCACTATATATCCGCTCTTCCCGGACCCCCGCATTCACTATATCCGCTCTCCCCGGACCCCGCATTTACCATATCCGCTCTCCCCGGACCCCGCATTCACTATATCCGCTCTCCCCGACCCCGCATTCACTATATCCGCTCTTCCCGGACCCCCGCATTCACAATATCCGCTCTCCCCGGACCCCGCATTCACTACATCCGCTCTCCCTGGACCCCGCATTCACTATATCCGCTCTCCCCGGACCCCGCATTCAATATATCCGCTCTCCCCGGACCCCGCATTCAATATATCCGGTCCCCACAGTACACAGAACATGGAAATGCAATTATTTTAGTAAATATAAACTGCTAAATCCCTTTTCTCATCAGCAGTATACAGCAGTCTTGTGACTTCTATCAGTGTCCCTCAGATTACTGGTTAAAGCTTGTAGGAGGAGTTTTCATTCTCCCGTCACTGTCCTATGAGACTGCCAGACCTGTGATCCCTCTGTCTGCACAGTGCTGATTGGCCCTGCGCTGATCACATGCACCCTTCCAAGAAAAAAACCTCTCTAGCAATACACACCAAACTGAGCATGTGCAGCTTGCCCCAAGGCTCTGCTCTATCAGGAGATGGATGGGGGACAGTAGAAAGGGATGATCAGAGAAGACAGGATCCAACAGCCTTTTTTACACAATGCAGGGGATTAACCCCTTAGGTTCCACAGTGAGTATAACAAGCGTGCTTTCCTGCATCTACAGACCGATCGTACTGCGGGGGGTTCAGGAACACTTTATTATTGCATGACTGGTTGCAGCTCGCTGTCCCGTTGTAACTTGTAATCTGTGTCATCCCTGTAATGTGTCACCATAAACATGGGATTGCCACTTGGAATGTCGCGGAATAATTGCCGGGCAAAGCTCAGCGATCGGCTCTCACCGCCTCCGTCCCTCTGACACCAAACAAGAGGACGATCCGAGGCGATGCGATCCGAGGCGATGCGATCCGAGGCGATGCGATCTGAGGCGATGCGATCCGAGGCGATGCGATCTGAGGCGATGCGATCCGAGGCGCTCTCCCTCCTCTCCTGCCGGGTTGTGTTGGTTTTGGATTTCGTTCTCTTTTAGCCGTCCTTTGAAGCACAAAAGGCTCCGCGTTGTCACTGAGACAATATCCGCCGACCGATCATTACCCAGAATTCACAGCTAGACGTCACACACATCGAACAATTCATTTCACAGACAGACCCTCCGCTGGCCTTGGGTTATACGCTCAGGGCACATATGTCTTCGTTTAAAGGGGAACTCCACTGTCAAGGGAGAAGAATCTTCCCAGAAATCTGCACTAAGACACCATTCACTGAGCTGCCATTCCCTTGGGCATCCCCACCCCCCATCTCCACCCCTTACCCCATCCTCACCCCTTACCCCATCCCCACCCCCATCTCCACCCCTTACCCCATCTCCACCCCTTACCCCATCCCCACCCCCATCTCTACCCCTTACCCCATCTCCACCCCTTACCCCATCTCCACACCCCTTACCCCATCCCCACCCCCATCTCTACCCCTTACCCCATCTCCACCCCTTACCCCATCTCCCACCCCTTACCCCATCCCCACCCCTTACCCCATCCCCACCCCCATCTCCACCCCTTACCCCATCCCCCCACCCCTTCCCCCATCTCCACCCCTTACCCCATCTCCACACCCCTTACCCCATCTCCCACACCCCTTACCCCATCCCCACCCCCATCTCTACCCCTTACCCCATCTCCCACCCCTTACCCCAGCCCCACCCCCATCTCCACCCCTTACCCCATCTCCCACACCCCTTACCCCATCCCCACCCCTTACCCCATCCCCAACCCCCATCTCTACCCTTACCCCATCTCCCACCCCTTACCCCATCTCCCCTACACTCCTTACCCCGTCTCCCCACTCCTTACCCCATCTCCCCTCTCCTTACCCCGTCTCTCCCCTCTCCTTACCCCATCCCCCCACTCCTTACCCCGTCTCCCCTCTCCTTACCCCATCTCCCCTCTCCTTACCCCCATCTCCCCACCCCTTACCCCATCTCCACACCCCTTACCCCATCTCCCCACTCCTTACCCCATCTCCCACACTCCTTACCCCATCTCCCCACTCCTTACCCCATCTCCCCACCCCTTACCCCATCTCCACACCCCTTACCCCATCTCCCCTCTCCTTTCCCCATCTCCCCACTCCTTACCCATATCCCCACCCTTTACCCCATATTTCCACCCCCATCCCCACCCCTTACCCCAATCTCCACACCCCTTACCCCATCTCCCACCCCTTACCCCATCTCCCACTCCTTACCCCATCCCCACCCCTTAAACCCCACCCCTTACTACCCCATCTCCACTCCTTACCCCATATCCCCACCCTTTACCCCATATTCCCACCCCCATCCCCACCCCTTACCCAACTCCACACCCCCTTACCCACTCCACACCCCTTACCCAACATCCCACACCCCTTACCCCACTCTCCACACCCC